AAGATGTCAGACCTCACTTGACATGTCTGTCACTTATTTCACATCGTGACCAAGCCGTGAGAAAATGGCCGTATAACAAACACTTCACTTCCTCAGGTCAACGTTTCGAAATTATGTTAATGAATCTTATAGCAGAACCTATTTTTAAAGCATTTCCTACGCTGCCTATGATGAACCATCGCAAAATATCTAAAATCCTTAGCTTTCAAATAAAAAAAAACAAAAACAAGTACAGGAAATATTGCTATTTTTAAGTTCCATGCGTCAATATAGCGGAAATTTTCCAGTCGGCGACCTTCATGAAAAGTTGATGTCCTCCCAAAATTAAACGCTGAGAGGAGAACACATGGACTTGCGAGTTCATCTGTTGTCCACGATTCAGCGCATTGTTAATCAGGTTGTTGACTTAATATTTTACGATGAATCAATTCAGTCGTCTTTTTATTACTTCACTTTTGAGAAAACAATCGTCAGCGGCTATCATCATCATCATCATTTATTATTCCTTGAAGGCCCTGGGGGCATTATACAAGAAAGTGAACACTTAAAAAAAAAACAAGTAACAAAACTATTTATCTAGTTGTGGGTAAAAAAAAAATAAGCTAATGGCTGAAGAAAATTTCTTAGAATCAGATAAGAAAACAATTACGTAAGGCAGTGAGTTCCAGTCGTCAATGGCCAATGGTAAAGTAGACATTTGGTGAGTGACGGTTGGCGATGAAATCGGACGGAGTTTACAAGAATGGTCGAGACGAGGGAAAATGCGGTAAGAAGGTGATAACAAACTTTGTCTGAGATGACTTTTGTAATAAAAGATCCGATGAAGAAGAGAAAGACGAGACACCCTGCGGCGATGAGAAAGAGTGTCCAGGTTAGCTGATTGGCGAAGTCCTGATATGCTTGCGTAAGGGGAATAGTCGGAATAAATAAAACGGAGGGCCCTGCTTTGAACGGATTCCAGGTTGTTAGTTAGGTATGCCTGCCACGGTGACCATATGGAAGAAGCAAATTCTAGTTTAGTTCTGATCAAGGTAGTATAAGCTAGTTGTTTTACGGGGGATGTAGCTTGTCTGAGGTTACGGCGAAGAAATCCGAGAGTGCGGTTAGCATCGGCGATGACAGTTGTTATATGAGTGGTCCATGACAGGTCAGATGTCAGATGAATTCCTAGATATTTGTACGATGAACAAGCAGTTACTGGGATGCCAGAAAGGTGGTAAGAGGAGGATAGAACATGTGAACTGCGGGAAAAAGATAGCGATTTACATTTATTATAGTTTAAAGCCATTTGCCATTTATGACACCACTGAATTATAAGTTGGAGATCATTTTGCAAGGTTAGCTGATCGTGGCGTGAATGAATGGGTTTATATATGACACAGTTATCGGCGAACAAACGTACTTCAGAAGTGATGCCATGGTGGAGATTATTAATGTAGATTAAAAAAAGAAGGGGGCCAAGAACGCTTCCCTGAGGGACTCCAGACGTTACTATGCTTGTGGTAGATTTGATATTGTTAATAGAAGTGTACTGAGTGCGATTAGTAAGGAATTCAGAAATCCAATTGACTACTGAAGGGTGAAGATTAATATTTCTTAGTTTCATTAAAAGACGTTGATGAGGGACCCTGTCAAATGCTTTGGAGAAGTCAATGAGGATGGCGTCGGTTTGAACATTGGAATCGAAATTTGAGTAAACGTCAGTTAGAAATGCTGTTAGCTGAGTTTCGCATGAGTAGGACTTGCGAAATCCGTGCTGGTGCTTGAAAAGGAGGTTATGAGAGTCTAGAAAGTTTATTATGTTAAAATAGAGAATGTGCTCCAAGAGTTTGCATGAAACGCTGGTGAGCGAGATGGGACGATAGTTGCTGATTTGTTGGCGATCGCCTGTTTTATGAACGGGTATGATGTTAGCAACTTTCCAATCTGATGGTACTTCACAGAGTTTAAGAGATTGAGAGAATATGTTGCAGAGGAAAGTGGAAGAAATGGGTTTAGTGTTTATTAATACCTTAGAGTTAATTTGGTCATCTGCGGAGCTGGAGGACAACTTTAGTTGATCTATAGCCTTAAGTACTCCATTACGGTCAATAACGATAGGATCCACGAGAGGGTGAGTGGATTGGCACGAATCAGGAATATTTAGTAAGTCCTCCTTAGTCAAGATGGAGCAGAAGAAATTGTTAATAGCAAGAGTGCCGTGTTTATCAGAAAGTGGAAGTCCGTCGTCATCTACAAATTGCAAAGGAAATGAAAGTGCCGGATTGATTATGTTCCAAAACTTCTTTGGTTTCGTGGTTAGTATTTTGGGGAGTTCGATACTATAGAATTTGGTTTTGGCGTGATTTATTGCTGATTTATAAGCCCTATCGCATTCGTACTAGGCGTTCCAAGAAGCCTTAGTGTTGACAGCCCGCACTTGCGAGAAAACGCGCGCGGCGCGCCGATCGCGTTGAAAACGCGTTTCTCTTCGGCGAGCAAAAGCATCTCTCGTCCGCTCGATTGCCTCGAGAATCCTCGAGATCTTGCGGGAAATCATGCGTTCGCTCGAATGCTTCAAGAGTGCGCGAGGCCTCCTGTCCTGTCACGTGACATTCGCGGCGTCAGAACTCTATCTAGTATGGTCTTCAGGATGCGGGACGCGTCTTCCCGCGATCGGCGTGCCACACGCGTTTTCTCGCTAGTGTGGGCGGCCCTTAACAAAGGGGTTAGGGTATTTAGTTGTGATTTCAAAAAGACAATTATATAGCTTGTTAACAAATTCTTTATCGCTATCTGGCGGTCTATAGCACACAGCCATTATTACGGGGGGCGTCGTAGCGACGTACACACATACAACTTCCAAGTCGGTAACAATCGGTATAACCTGGGACGGAATTTTATTTTTTATAGCTAAAAGCACACCTGCCCCCCTCCTAGCGGATCTATCACACCTATACACACGAAAGTTTGGACACAAAGAAAAAAGTTCAGTATCTGATATATCGGGGCTTAGCCACGTCTCGGTAAGCACAAGGAAATCTGCGTTGCATGCGTCAACCAAGGAAATCACATCATCTCTTTTTGGTATCAAGCTTCTCATATTAGTAAATAAAATAGAATGATAAGAAGGTTTGTTACAGATATCGCGGCGTTTTGCAGGTTGATTGGGTGATGAAAAACGAAATGAACGCTGGCATTGCTATGCACTTTTTTCCTTCACTGCCACCAAGAGCGGCGTCATATACATAACACTTATTATCTAAAAACAGCTTATCGTGACGCAGCTTGTAATTCGTGCCTTTAGGCTTGGCACATTCAAGAAGGTGACGGCGCGCAAGTCGGGCAGAAATGGGAAAATCTTCACTGATGGCTACACGTGTCCCTTTGAGCTTAAATGCCGACGAAAGATAGTACTCCTTATCCTTAAATGATGAGAACTTCACAATTATAGGGCGACATTTCTGTGGATTGAACGTTCCCAAGCGATGCGCACTTTCAATTTCGCTTGATTCAATATTCATGCCTAGGTTTCTGGAACACACGCCGGTTACCAAGCCCTCGGACTGGGCCCACGTTCCCCTATCGGTGTCAGTGACGCCAGAAAATAGAAGGTTGTTACGACGGGATCTGGCCCTCCGTGTCGTCACAACGAGTTTTCAGCTGCGAAAGTTCGTTTAGAGCTGTGGTAAGCTGAGGTTCGGTAGGTATGACGCTGCCGATTTCCTTCTGCTTCAGTAAGTAGAGTTCAGTTGTTAGGTTGTTAACGCGTTCTTCTAGAGCGGAAGCAGATTTTTCGCTTTGTATATTTTTCTGTGTTAGTAGGTTTACCTCTTGTTGCAGACGAGCAAGGCTACTCTGAAGTTTCGCGAAAGTCTGCACAAGCGCAAGGAATTCATCCTCTTGTTGCTTGCTCATAGGGCCTGGGTTCTTCTCTACATCCCCAGACAACAAAAGCAACAAAGCTCTAAAAGATTCAATACACGCTCTAAAAGATTCAATGAAAGCTCCGGGGCATGGAAGCACAACTAGGCAAACATAATTCGACCTAAAACAGTGGTAAGGTTTACGACTACTAACCTGCGGCAAGACGAAAAACATGAGCCACCTCATCGCTGCAAAGCTTCCATGCTCCCTGCCGCGCTATAGCCGGGGGGTCCCTTTGTAGGCGCTTCCGTTGGTGTCGCTGTGGATGGCATAGCACGAGCGAGGTGCTCTGTGACCTTGATCCCAGCAGGAAACACTGTGGTCGACGAGCGCGTGGCGGATGGTAGCTCGCGGCCCGTAAACCGGAGCAAAGCTGCGCCGTCATGTGTCGCCGGCTGGATGGGGACGCACGCGCTGACACGCACAGGAGCTGCGGCAAGACGAAAAACATGAGCCACCTCATCGCTGCAAAGCTTCCATGGTTGCAGACAATAGTACTCCTCCACCTGCATCAGTTCAGTCGTTTTGCGGCCGAACCTGGCGGAACACCGAACATGACTAAAATCTAAAAACATGACTGTTTGTAAAAAAGTGCCAAGTTTAGGCTCGAAATCTCTTTGGAGTTCTTGAAAGGGGCCCAGTACCACAGCATCGTCGGTTGTTTAACGCAAGATACACATTTTCGTCACAAAATTAAGGTAAAACTACACAACCGCAAGCGAGCCATAACCGAAACCAACCAAGCTGTGCCACCTAGTGGTGCCGAAGCGTCAGCGCCCTCCGTCTGCCAGTCTGGTAACTACTGATATTGAAAGGTCTATAAATTAACAGATTCAAACTCTCTAGAGCTTAAGAAATAACCATATCAAATGAGACTTGATTAATCCAACTTAAAGCGTGGTTGATTCATTTTGGGAAAGCTCGACAACGAGAAGGAGTAACATTTCTTCGTCGTAAAGTAAAAATTTCTGCTATAAAATGTGATACGTGATACTACCTGATAAGTCTATGCAATTGAAATATTCTCTAACAGTGTACACTCGATGACAAACGCTTCGTGTCAACACTGTCTGTGCACGCCCTGTCCCTTCTAGGAGCTGGCATTGTTCGTGTCCTGCCTCTGCCACGACCTTGACCATCGCGGTAAGACGAACCAGTTCCTGATCAACTCTGCATCTCCGCTTGCCAGTATGTACAGCACATCGACCTTGGAACACCACCACTTCAACCAAACTGTCCAGATCTTACAGGTATGCTGCATATGACAAAATGGCTAAATAACTGTTTAAATGCAACACCACTCTGTGTTTTAAATTTGACGTTTCTTTTTATAAATAAAAAATTTAACAATACAAGTACTTGGTAAACAAAAGACGACAATTGAATTGCCTTCTGAAATTCTGAAAACAGCAAGACATTAACATACCAATCGCAAGAAGGTTAAGAATGTAGAGAAATATGTACTTTGGCTATTAGCACTATTTACTCCTCATTTTGCCGGATATCACAAAGCGCTATTATCAAAGGATATCGCATCGATGTTCTAATGCACCCACTTTGACTACGCGATTTGAGTGAATTGCTTGTCTTGCTCAATAGCGGTTCTACGCTTACTCTCTGACTCCGCATATGTGATTCCAGGAATCAGCGTACCTCAGAACATTTGATTCAGGTTCAGCTGCGCTTAATTTTATTACATGTTCCCTTATATCTGCCACATTGTAAGGAAAGATTGCAGCACCATCCAAGACCTAGTTTAATGTGCACTGGGCATTTAGACTAAGCATATTTATTTTTCGTCTCATGGTCATAATATTGTAAAAAGAAACATACATCGTGTTTCCACTTAAAAGCCGACGTGCAACCTCGATTTTCTGCCGGGAAGAGAATACCCTTATGCTCCCCCCTCCAAGGATGCGAGGGGAACCAAGTTGGGGTGAGGTAAAAAGTGGAGAGGATATAGGAAAGGAGGAAGCGGGCAAAAGTGGAAAGCAGAAAGTGTGCGTCGCCCTTTAATGGATGAATCTTTTAGTTTGGACAGAATATGATTAGGGAGTACTTAAGCTTTTGTGTGTCTTGAAAGAGTATCTACTAAAAACTATTTAATTCAGAAACTCGATAGTTCGTCGCGGTGGCAACGAGTCTCTTGATATCCATTCGTTTCCGCAGGTATCTCTTCAATGCATATTGTAGAGACACGTGTAATCAAGGCACGATACAGCTAATTGTGCGTCTCCACACCATTGATACATGTTATCACAAATTGTTTTGTCTGCGTTAAGCCCTTTTTAATGTTCTAGTAATGAAAGAACATGATTACACATGAATGTGTGAACTCTGTTTTCACAGCAATCTGGTCACAACATCCTCAAGAACCTTTCGTCCGAGGACTACAAACAGGTATTGTCACCCTCTTCAACCAAACCACTAAGAATTATTTTTTTTTCTGAGGCGCGAATATAGTGTTTTGGTTGGCTTGCCCTAGAGTTAAATGACGCTACTCTTATTAGCAGCCAGTTAATGTGAAACTCTTCACATTTAAGATTAGTACGTACGGTTATAGCAACTCGTCAGTGCGTGCTTGTTGAAAGCGTATCATCCCGCTTATGTGGTCTTTGCAGGATGCCAATCGCATGGGCATAAACCTTGCTCGTGATTGACAAATATGCAACTCTGTGAGTTCCAAACTTAAACCGGCATATTTCGCGTTTCCTCGTCATTTACAGAGACTGATTACACCGTTCTGGCGAGAATATTGTTAAAGGTGACCGACCAGGTGACAAATATATTGCCTAATTCTCGTTTCATTTTGAAGCAATATTGCTGACGGTATCTCTCCACTGTTAGTTTATCTCATTTGACAAATCATTTTTTGAGAATTCATTCTAAATTTGTCTGTGACCGTTTTGCGATAATACAAATACGTATGATCGTAAACTAATTACGACATGCCAATATTTAGGATTTATGATAGTTTCCTTTTTTACATTAGAATGATGAAAGGGTGGAATAGATTACGAAAACACATAATAGTTGTTGGTTAGAATGTCAAATTTTTGCCTTTGTTGCAATAACTAATAATGATAGCTCAAACTTTTCATCGGTAGCTCCCTTACGTAGCCCATCTTATAGCTCGGCCATTATCCCAACTACAAAGTATGATTTAAACAACGCAAAAAGAAATTTATGGGCGTAAGGGAAGGAGCAAGCAACACAGAACAAGAGCCGACTCGCAACTAAAGGTTCATTACTTGAAACAGATAAAAAGTAGACAAGAGCTATGGAAACACATGGTAGGTAACACATGCGGCGCTCCACCGCCCAATCGCATCGGTGTATATTCCTTCTCGCAAAACGGAAATAATATATATATATATATATTTTTATTTCTCTCTCTCTCTTATCTAAACAGAGATAAAATGTTTACTTTCCATGAGGGGGCATACACTGTATCGACTGGGTGATGCAGTCGCGCATGTGTTTTACCTAGTTTCTATAGGTCTTATGCGTGTTTGTTAATATACGTTCTGTTGCAAGTTGTAGGGAACAAAGGGTTGCCTACCTTTACGTCCGGCGATCGCTGCTCAAAGGGAAATTCGATGTCCGTCCCATCTCGCGGCCGACGGCTACCAGCGAGGGCGGTCGCCGCGCCGGGTTCGGCCAACGCCATGCCAACAACGATGATCCCGGTATCCAACAGCGTTTATTGAGTACCAGGGGTCCCCAACAAGACACTGCGGTCGAGCAAGCCGTATTCACAGAGTGCCCGCAGCGCTCGAATACCTGAGAGCCAAAGGGGTAATTGCGAGCAGAGTCGTCGCCGGTGGGCCGAACTCACGTCGCTACCCAGAACTCTCGGCAGACGGACGTCCACTAGAAGGAGGGGACTCCGACTGTCAGAGCCAGGGAGAACGCTAGCGTCGAATCATCGTTGGTCGGACGAGCTCGTACGCCGCGACTCGACCCGTCGCCCGGAGTCCAATCCAAGACTCCCTGACCACACGGCCGTCCACTCGGGGGCCAGGCCCGACTCTCCCTCGAGATCTCGCTATTCCCCCGAAATCGGGGAGACGCGCGGAGCAGTGCGAGAGAGTAAGCCAGCATGTTGGTGTGCTCTCTCCGACACGATACAGAACGAGCCGGCTCGAAGCCAGACAACTCTGGCCGGAACGTCCGCGGCTTCCGCCTTCTCGGGGGAGGGAAACCAGTGGCTCCCACAAAGTCGACCCTTGCGTTGCTTGCTACTTCCTCTCCGTTCGAGTTCTTTTTGCTGTCTAAACCATACTATGTATAAGGAATACCAACTAACACAGTTCTCAACGTTGTAAATTGCACGATTACTTGCGAATAAACACCTATAATAATTAGTAAGAATGTAAGGTCCTAGCTCCGCAGATTGGCCACAATGACAGATGTCAGGTAGAGTCAGCGTTTTCAGGCTGCTCGGTATCATCTGTCACCTTCACTTTTTTGAGTCAGAGCAAAATACTCATGATTAGGGCATCTAGTACGCAGCGAGCCACTAAGCCAAATATTATGCCTTAGAGGAATTATACAACTAGCGATACGTAGTTGCGTGAACGCGAAGCATAATACTGAACTACCTGCTTGCATGGGAAAAGAAGTCCTCATAAAGCTAGTAGCACAATCGTGGGCGTATGTAAGCTTGAATTTGTCACCTCTTCAAGTGGCAGCTCACTCACAAAACCTCACAATTATATGTTTCCTTTTTATCTTGCAGGTCCTCAGCTACATTAAACACTGCATTCTGGCGACAGATTTAGCCTTGTACTTTCCCAACAAATCGAAGCTAAAGCATCATGTCGACGAAGGAACGTTTGATCCAGGACAGCCAGAGCACAGGTTAGAGCCTTTCAAAATCTATTTCTACGAAGCAACTTTCCCATTGATATGTTCGCTGCTTACGTCCTTGTTCAGGATATTGAGCCCTTTTATTTAAGGGAATAATTGGAATAAAGCGTTCCGGGAATGTGTGTGTAAGTGATGATATATGTTCGGTTGTACCGATAAAGTTCGGTAGCTCCATCTGAGGCGTCATTTGTTTGCCATTGCCTTCGTTCTTCGTCTCCGTCTTTTTTTTTTTCAAATATGTGTAACGTCAGCCCGTTCGCCGGTTTATTTACTCTTTATTTTGTATATGAACTAATAAAGAAAGCTATCTCCGCCAACACACCATTCTGAGGCTAGTTCGTGACCCTGGAGCATAGAAAAAGTTGCTGCAGTCGCTGTCTCGGGGTGAACGACTGGAGCCTGGTCATTCCGCGCCAAATGATCAAGGCGTTTAATATCCAGGCATTTAGGAATAACAATTTGTTTACAACACCTTGAATTTTCTGGAAAATAAGCTCCAGGGTTTATAAAACAATGTTTTTTAGACAGGTGTGAAACGAGACTGAAATTGAACAGCGTTTTAGTAGGTCAATATACCTTTAAGTTATGGAATTGGTTTTGATTTTCAAATTTTTGAGTGTTTCCTAGGATGCACGCGGGTCCTTCCAAAAAAATTATAATCATTTTTCTTATTTTCAAAAACACGCTACCATATGACAACTTAGAACTTATATGTCAGTGAGAAAACAAACAGATAAAAATATTTTTATAAAAATGTGTCAGTGTGTTTCCTAAAGAAAACGAACATTGAACATATAGCAAAACACTGAAATTTCAAAAAAAATATCAATCTCATTAAAGGTGGTTGGTTTAAGAATGAACACCCGAAGCCGATATATAGTCTAGAATTCAGACAACAGACAAGCAAAATTTGTAAAAAAAAATATTATAAGTAAAAAACGATTTTTGAGCGTGGCCTTCAAAAAACTTCTTTGAATTTGGATTCCCTCAATATTGTAGGTCTGCTAACATATGCACTAATGCGCGTCTCTGCCTCTCGGTGGGAACGCAAGAGGATGAACCAGAAATGATCTGTAATTTTCTCAATTAAAACAATATACACCGTATTTACCGGACCCGGTGTGCGATCCGCAAAGGCCGATTTTAACTGAAGAAAAAATATTTTCTTGTATAGTCTGGACGCAGTGCATTGTCCGTACTTAGTGTCCAATCTGAACGTAAAGATTATCACACACAGCACATCTTGGCAAATGCCTGCTATATTAGCTCAGAAAGGTCCTTGTATCTTACATAAGTCACCATTAATATACACTCTGTAATTCGTAAAGTCCTTCACGTCTTGTAACAGGGAATGATCTAGATAAATAGAAAACCTTGTATAGTCCACTGCTGTACATGGTCCGCGGCATTTTTGTATATGTGCAATGCTAGCAATGAACCAATAATGAAAAATAAGCTTCTTAAAAAAATGTTTTTTTTTTTTCTTTGTGTTTTTTTAGTTATTAAGTACATATAGCCTTGAAGTTTGCATGTTTAGACCGACCACCTTCTGGGTCGTGCTTTTAAAACTGAATTTTTGCAATATCTTGAATACTGGCAGACTCCAATCATCCAGCTTCCTGTGGCAGGTGTTAAATGAGGTTGTGCGAGCCTTGGTTAAAAAAAAAAAAATCAGCTAAAGGCAGAAAAAGGTAGTACGCGTAATGTCGATAAAAACAGGTGGTAGTGGTTCTATACCTGCACAAGGTATCGCACAACTTAAAAGAAGTCGCCCAAAGATTTCAAGTTCCAGTTGTTTTTTCATCACCTAAAAAAATGGACCAGATTTGTTCTAATGTTAACTTGAATTTGCACTAATTATCTCAAAATAAATATAAAAAGAAGCATGGTATACAGTTTGTGCCCTGTACCCCGCGCGTGGTATACGGTATTGCCTTAACATGTGGTAGAACGTACGTGGGACAGACAGGAAGGTGTATTAAAGATTGGCTACGTGAACATAACCTGTTTATCAGGTCGACGGTGGGGAGTAACTTCCCTCTGCACTGTCAAGCCTGCACATGTACTCCAAATCTAGCCAGCACCACTATCATAGGACTATATAAGCAAAAACTCTCCAGAGAAATATACGACGCGTATATTAACAAGGTCTTGTTGAGCACTGTGTAAGCCGTCCTTCTGTTACTCTATCTGAAATGAAAGTTTTGTTTTAAACGCTTCGATGCGCTAAAGCCCTTGCCCCGCGCCCTGGAGTTATGCCATGAGCACGTGCCTGTTAGTTTGTATGTCATCTTCTTTCTTCTCTTGTAGATGAAATATTGAGTTGTGATTTCAGCGTCTATCCTGTCTCCTGTATTCTTCTACAGTTTCCTCACGTTGCTCGCTGACTTTAACCATGTATATTGCTTACCAACTAGCCCAGCTCACCACCCTTCTACTGTATTGTCATAGCTAGGACTAAGAACCAGATCACCAGAGAAATACTAAAGGCAGATATTATCGCGCACCTAGAAGATGATTGGGTCAGTAGCCGATTCCCACCACTGTCTGAAAAATAATTATAATGTTGAGCGCGACGATCGCAATAGATTGCAAAAAGATATTTTTTTTTCTTTGTTTTCATTTGTAACAAAATCTGGCATTTAAACTAGATTCGTGAAGAGGAAGTAGAAGTAGAACAAGAATTTAAAGGAGTTGTAAGCCAACGCTTGTGTTTGTCTCTTTGTGGGCTTCTCGTTTTTTCCTTGTCTCGTGAGCTGTAACCTCACGACAAGAACACACATAAGTTTCAAGTCTTTATATGGTAGCGTTTGTTTATGCTAAATTGTTTCGAATATGGTGAGACAGTTTGTGAGTAAATGGATTTCTATGTGCGACCTTGGATACGATTAATTTAAAAAAGACCGCCGTAATTGTTGGGTTTGGGATGTCTTCTGCCCAAAGCGCGGTGTCCGATGGCACGCACTCACTGACTCTCTGGGTGTCTCGAGGTTCGGCCTTCTCATTTACCTTCCGTGTTTCGAGCATGCTGTTCGGGACGATTACGTGTACGGCATCGCTGGAGTTCCTGACGTCTTTGACACTGATTGCAGCAGCAATGGGATTGATTGGTATTCATATATGTTAAAAGCTGGTTATTTTGACTGAGAGCCGCTGGCGACCAACTCTATCGACGACGACATCGCCACGGACGAACTCGCCGCGGTCGCCGTAGTTCGTGACAACCTCGCAGGCGCACGGCGCGGGTGGAAGGTCAGTACGCCGGGGTCGAGAGCGACAGTAGTGTTGGAATGGCGGAGTGGCGTGAGAGGTTTTTATCGCACCGGTGGCGAGGCGAGCTTGGGCGATGAGGGAGGTGCCTAGAATGAGGGAGCGTTCGTGTCATGATCACGTGGCTTATGGGCACCGTGGCATGACCTCTGATCTCGATTGTGGTAGGGTGCCTGGAACGTGTCTCCGACTGGTGTGTTTAGCGGGTCCAAGAAAGTGGTCCCTTGATTTCCGCCTATTCACGTCACGCAACTGTCAAGCTGTCGCCAGTCGCGATTTGTTACTTGAGAAGCAGCTTTTGACAAAACCAATCGGTAACAACGTGAAGACGCATGTGGACGTTATCGCGCGGCGCAAAGCCATTTACAACTATTGAACTGGGCCCTTACATTTCACGAAATTTACCAAATTTGTTTTTGAGCTTCTTTTTCTTTTCTTTTTTTTCTTTTATGCATGTCGTAGTGTCGGCCTGCGTTTTTCTCGATGCGCAAGCAACTGAATGCATGCGGACGAGACCAAGGCTTTTAAGCGAGGCAAAGATATGAGTTTCAATAATCCACGCCACCAGCCATAACTGAGGATGTGTTTGGTTAACAGTAAACAACAAAAAGCTGAAGACACCGCAAAGCCCTTATCTTAATGTCTTATATATATATATATATTTAAAAAAAACCTACTGACTCTGGAAAGCCAGAAAACAATTTTATTGCTTTGCAGCGATCTCTAACACCCCCCCCCCCCCCCCCTTTGATCTGGCGTCGACAAGCGAAATTTGTAAAACACCTCTAAAACGGAACGGGAGTTTGTTGATATGATATTCGTGAATATTTCAAGTGCGGACATGTGGAATGGAAAACAGAACAGACACGGGCGATCTGTTTGCTCAATACACACAGATACGGGATTTTGATTATTTTTATCGAACACTACGTTTAATTACATCGAACAGGGTGTTCCGACTTAGGTTCATCACAGTGGCTAAAACTTCGATGTCGGCGACGGCGAAAACTTACGTTGCAGACGTCGAATGGAGCAGCACGGGGAGTGCCCGTGTTACTCCATTGCACTAAAAAAAAGTTTTTTTGGTGCAAAGAAGCTTAGGAATAGTTTTGAGAAAGTCAATGCAGTTATCCTGCCAGTGTTGAACAAATCTTCAGTAATAGAGCAACATCCGTCAGTTGTGCTTGAGGTCAATGCTATATGAAACCAATTTGAGCTTTTTACAATGCCTGAAAAATATTGCCCCGGTTACAGTTCCCTTTAAAAAAAAAAACCACAAGTCTTTAAAACAAATATTTCGCCAGTAACAACTAAAAGAAAAGAAAAAAAAATCCTTGAGTCTCATGTATTGGCGTGGAGCAGTCTACCGCTAAAAAGTACAACTTCATGCGTATTCGCATCGAAAAATAAAATTAAAAGTGTCCTCAGAGTTGAAAAGCATGGAGGCCTGGTCCTTTGTCCACGTTAGGTGATCGGAAGTCGGAACACAATAAAGTTTCCGAATCGCACTTCGTGGCAGAACGTCCATGCCCTGGAAATACTGAGAAACCGATATGCAATATACTAGACTCTACCAAGATGGCCGCGTGCACTGTGCTGCTAAACCACGAAGCATTTCGCATATCGTCTACTGGATAATTTAGAAGAATTTATTGACGTCAGAAAACTCTGTTTATTTTAGTCTCGTTTCAAGCCTTTCTGAAAAAAGATTTCGTTTTTTGCTGATTGGGACTTCCTTTCCGTACAATTTTGAGGTGTCGTAAACTAGTTAGAGCAAACATAACCGATAAAAGTTACTTTTACATCACTGATAGCACATACAATTCGTTGGACCGAATCTGTGAGGGTAAAATTTAGGCTTAGATCGTTGTGAGTGGAATGACCCAGTAGAGATCTTCAGTTGTCGCGCCTCCCAGGCGAGCTTCCTACCTTGGACAACGCATCGGCGGCTCGTGAAACTCGAGCACGCACGTTCCGACAAAGCAGGGCTTTTAGGCATGGAACACGTTCTAGAAGCGTTCGAAAGACACGCCCTGCCGTCTTATTTTGTCGGGAACAATTACGACGGGTATTGGACATGCCGTCCAGGACTGATTGCATTTCTTTTCAAAAAGGACACGAGCCTCAAGAATGAAGTGGTACCAGCTTTGAAATTTTCACAGGGGAGAGAGTGCATCAAACATAGCGTGGACCTTATAGCATAGTATTCGATGTTTGGGAGTCATAAATTCCATACAATGGCATCAAGACTGCAATGCTAGATTTTCTCAACGAGGTAGCCGTTCTTCTCTGCATACGTTATGAGAAGTAAACATTTTGATGTTCTGGTATTAGAGTAATCATTTGAGCCGATTTGAGTCGGTGAAACTCTTGTTCCCGTTTAGAGAGCACTGACTATTTGGACAACTAAATATCAAAACCGTATTGGTGGATTTCCTAAGTGATTGTCCGCGGGCCAGCGTAATGGACTGGTGTGTTCAGCACCTGGGACTGGTGTGCTTAGTTTGTAAACACGAGCTTAACCGAACCTTGTGTCCAGTTTGTGGCTCGCATTAGCCCCATGTTAATGACGTAGACAATCCATCATTGCGCCCCTGTTACGTCAGAGGACTCAACACAATGAATTGGCGATCGACTTTCTCTATTCCCAGGTCTCTGTTGCAGGCGATCACAATGACGGCGTGCGATCTCTGCGCTAGCACCAAGCCCTGGGAGCAGCAGAGGAAGACGGTCCAAGTCATTTTCGAAGAGTTCTACGAACAGGTGGGCGCGTCTTGAGATCTAGGTTTGCGGGAGTACCTGACCTCCCGTCCTCGCAGGGTGACCTCGAGAAGGCGGAGGGGAGACAGCCAATCCCAATGATGGACAGGACCAAGGCCCACGAACTTCCAGCATCTCAGGTACTCACGGCGATTCCCTCGTTAGGGTAGCTACACAGATAGCGCTACCGACAGGAACACAAGTAGAACAATAGAAACGGACAAGTCAACAAGATAGCACTGATATTTTTACTTCTAGTTGTCCTTCAGGCATTCAGCCCAACAGTTCATATCGGCCCTACACCGTACCCATTACGTAGTTTTAAATGCAGCTGAGCGAAATTCCTCTGAATCATCTTATTTTGACTTCCTCGAATGCTCGATATCACTTGATAAAATTACGTCCCGTAGTCAAAGGTCTAAAATTAAAGATTGATTTTGTAATTCTGCATATTTAATAATATTTGTTACTAATTAATTGATTTGTCTGTCGCCGTTTGAGCTGATCTTATGATAGACTCAGGTTATACAGCGTGTCTCACCAACGATTGAGAACAATAAAAAAACACATTGGACTTTATATAAACAAGTCATCCCATTAGGATAACTCTATCTAACGCGGCGTACGTCAGGCTAATAGTGTAAGGTGAGAATTAAAGATTTCATTTTGTAACATTTACTGGGACCTGAACACTTTAGCTATTCAATTTCAATTAGATATGTTTGCCCCGTCGTAAAATTATGCCATGGCTGTTCTTAAAGCTCAGTCAGCTAAATTTTCCTCGGCGCTATTTTGTGTTACATTTAAGTTGATGAGATTGGGCCACACAATGTAGACGCGAAAGATTGGCAAACGTTCCACCCGGAAGTGACGTCAGCCTCCGCAACCAGCAGCAAGTCATCGCACTATCTAAGGGTACGTGGTCGTAAAAAGGCGTCTCCTCAGGTACTCAGCTATGGGGCTTTTTTTTTGTTTGTTTTTGTTTCGGTATGGCATACTCTGGACAACGTAACTTCGGCATTCATTAGCTCGGATAAGAAAATGGGCTTCAAAATCCTAACACATACTGTCTGGACGACGGGGAAAGATATATAATTTTATTATACCAGATATGCGGTAATTTCAAATGTTACTTAATGATTTCAGGTAAACAGATTGTCAACTCGTGCCCTGGCGTTCGCCGATGTCAACATCGTTATGCCGAAGTAACCACTTTTTCATTTCAAGTGTCCTTTTTTAAATTATTTTCACTTGCTGGAAAAACACCATGTATACCAAGTAAACAGCTTCATTTTATATACTGCAAGGTTCAGCGGAAACATCTATTTTCGCCTTCTGTATATTGTAGCTGTTATTCATATTGGTCTTCTACTGCGCGATGATCCTTGACAGGTGGGCTTCCTGAAGGGCATCTGCATTCCTTGCTACGACCTGCTCTCCAAGATTCTTCCGGGGGCCGAGGATATGAAGAAGGGCTGCCTGTACGTTCGATATCCTTGTGCACTTTGCAATCACAAGCCTCAGTTCAGTTCTTTCTAATTAATTTTTACTGCGAAGGCATTAACTGTCTCAGGAAGCGAACTCGAGTAATCAGCTAGTGAAGCCGCGCCGAATGGCACATAAACTCCCCTGTCACAACGGAGCCAAGCCTGTCGTCTGTAGCAGCGCTCTGATGGACAGGATCTCATTGGCTGGCGCGCGTCATAGTTTCAAGGCACGAGGCTCCCATCGGCTGCCGCACGGCATAGTTTTACGGACCGCCACCAGAGAAGGCTTCACCATGGCGGCGCGGTGGTACGGCCGCCGGTTTGAGGGAGCCACTGCCCGCAGAGCCAGCAGAACCCGCACAGGCCTACTCCGGAAAGGCTGAATGGCCGAGCTCAGCGCGGCCGTTCAGTTCAGGAGAGATCGCGCTGCGCCGTCGGCCACAACCTCCGCAGTAGCAAAACGTGGCCGTCCACGCCGGTACTCCGCAGACAAACTGAAGGAGCGAAAGAACGACATCCATCTTTCGCGTTCACAACTTATAAGAAGTGCTTAGGTGTCTTTGTAGTTTTTGTTTCCTATCCACTTTGTTCTCTTCACTTCATCATCGCCCCAGCAGGACAGATTATTGCCACTTTAGGTGCAACTGTGACCTTCTCCTCGGCATATACCTTTGTGATGGCTAGTCAACGCCCGCTTCAGTGGCTTAGTATCTCGGTAAAACAAGAGAAGGTCGGCAATGGCCGCTCAATCTGGCACGTGTTTAAAGCGTCTAACCCAGAAAATTCAGAGGAAAGACTTTGTTTACCGGTGGTGCTGAAGGAAATGCGCGCAGCGTCGCAAAAAGACAGGTGTGGCGTAGTCTGATTCTGTGAAAAGAAAAAAAAACTGCCCTAGGCATTACCTGCACTAAGAGCACCATCCACTCTAGGCGGCTGCGTATTTTCGGCACCGATTCGATGTCCAGGGTGCGTGGCTAAAGGCGTAACGGACTTCATTGGCCGCACGAGAGGGGCCGACAGCGCGCGCGGCCGACGGCCCAGCGCGCGCTCTCGTGAAGTGGCCGCGCCGCGCTGAACTCGGCCGTGCAGCCCCATCGGAGTCTGCCCGTGCGGGCTCTGCTGGCTCTGCAGACAGCGGCTCCCTCAAACCGGCGGCCGAGCCGCCGCGCCGCCATGGTGAGGGCTTTTCTGGTGGCGGTCCTTGGAACTACGCCGCGCGGCAGCTAATGGGAGCCTCGTTTCTTGAAACCATAACGCGCGCCAGCCAATGGGAGCCTATCCATCAGAGTGCTGCTACGGACGACAGGCTTGGCTCCATTGGGACAGGGGAGTTTATGTGCCGTTCGGCACGGCTTCAAGAGCTGATATCGCCGGTTCTGTCTATGGGACAGCTAATGATTTCACATTACAAATGAAGCTCGTCTATGGCGGAACTCAGGCACAGGTGCGCGAAAGTGTCTATACTCGGGGGCGACTTTTTCGGGCATTTGCGAAGAAGCGAAGACTGCGCGGGCACATTTGAAACGCAAGGTGACGGCTCACTTACTGGGCTTAATTGTTTTAGCCAGTTACAACACACTCCAAGTTGTAGAAAAGAAACGGAAACCTTGACGTTGCAATTTTGGAGTAGCTTGATTGGCTCTGCTGTCAGCTCCCAGATACTATTGCCCCCTGACTTCAGGTGGGAGGATGTATGGCCCTATAAAAATTAGTTTTTCTTTTTATTGAAAACGTGTTGACTTCTTTTTGACTGAATACTTTCTTTTGACTTTGTCTTCGTGATGACATGGTCAACAGAAAGTTTGTTTATTTTGTGTATAGATTTCTCTACTGCTTTTCTTCAGCCTGAGTCAAAAGAAAAGCTGTTGACTTTCCATTAACTTTACGTTGATTTTTTTTTTCTGCTGACTTCTTGTTGTCACTATCACCAGAAAGACTACAGACGTTATGTTTACTTCATGTTGTAACTGTTCAGTTGACTCTCTGTAGCAAGTGTCACTAGAAAAGCTACAGAATTTCTGTTAATTTTTTTTTAACATAGTACATCTTGAATAGATGTAAAAGCTTGAGAAGTTTTTCAATAGTCTCTGACAATGTGAGGACTGTAGGCAGAAGCTTTAGTGGTCCCGCGTTCAGCGCGAGCCTTCTACCCTTGACAACACTTCGGCGTCTCGCGCACCTCGAGCGCGCTTGCGCACTCAAAGCACGACGGAAGGCATGGGGCAGTGCTGGAGGCCAGGCGTTCGGAAGACGCGCCCTGCCGTTCTCACTTTTCAAGTGAATAACAGTGCTTTTATTCACCTTATTAAATTAGTTAACTAGTAAAGAAAAGCAAAATAACTATTTTAAAGGGGAGCAACTGCCTTTATTCGCTTCGTTCTGACTGGCGCTGGCAGAAAAGCGATAACATTTCTTCTAGGAGCCGCTTTTGTGGATGCTGTTTTATCAACTGTACCGAATTATTATTAGTTGTACAATGTTTTGTAGTAAGGGATAGACTCCACCAACTTCAAAACACTGTTTTCCTTTTGACAAATTCCCGAGAGAGAGAGATCGGATACTTGGAACCTTTATAAGTGCTGAGGTAATCACCGACCTAAAGATTACCTTCAAAATGTAACCTATAAAAGGCTCAGGAGCTGTCAACAAGACTGTGATTCAGGTGCTGAGTGCTTCATGGTGTTTGTGTTTTTATTCGTTTCTAATATGTGTCTGTGGGATCTATGTAGTCTGTTCAAATACCGAATCGACACCACTTCCTAACCAAATCCAAAATATTAAACAAAATTAGGTCTCTTAACACTTTTTTACGTCATTCTGTGGCAGCCAATTTGGAGCAGAGTGCAAGGCCGTAGTAAACCTCCAAAACTATGTTAAATGATTAGCTATGATGTAGAGCTTTTTTTTTTTTTGTTCTTAAACAGCTTTAACTTTTCAATTCAAAAGTTGTAGCTTTTCATTTCAAAAGCTACCGAAAAAGTATCTTGGAGACGGTAAAGTTCTGTTGACCTTTTCATAAAAAAGTGCGCAAGTATTAAAAAAAAATTCTATGCAAAAAAAAAAAAAGAAAAACTAGAAAAATTCAAATGAAACACTGCTGACAATTTAGATTCTGTGATGACTTTTTTCAACAGCCTTTCAGCATTAAAGCGCGACAGTGTTTTGTAAGGGAGTGGCATCTATAGCGTGATGAAACTTCCTGCAGTGAAATATTTGATTGAAAATGTTTCTGGCGCCGTATGTATCCAGAGCAGTGAACTCTGAATGAACTTTGATATCTTCAAAATTAAGCCTCAAGTTCCCCTGACGTTCACGCCGTTTCCTAGGGATAAGCTACAATATACCTCTTTCAAAGAACTGCCCTCTGTTGGTAGCTGTAGGACCTTGCACAAAGGCACCCTAAAAACGCAACGTCAAGGCACAGCTTATTCGTTTGGTTGGACTTAGGAAGGCAAAAACATCCACATACAAAGGTAGTGAGCGCAGTGACATTGCACTTTCGACGCTTTTTGATTGGCTCGTCGTCTCCTTTTGTTGGCCGTATTCAGGGAATGACTTCCACGTTCCACGATATCAGTTGATCCGCAATTGTGATGTGGTTATGACCTTAAGTCCCTAGATAAGTGCTTCCTACAGGTCGCGACATTCTTTGAAGTGCCTACTGCGTGACGGTGCAGGTTTTAGGAAGCGAATGGCGGCGCACAGCAGAGGTTTGAACTGTATTCCGCCATTTTGTACCAGCGGAATGTGCTTTGTCATTTGTGTTGGTTGTCGTTACTTGTAAAAGAAGTATCAAGGGACTTTATTTATGACCTTTTAATTATTGGCAAGTGACTTCTGAAAGGGGTCTACTTACCAAGCTACGTGTATAGCGCCTAACTCGTACGCACGAGGTGGTTTCGTATAATCCGATAAAAAGTACCGCCTTCATGATGCGCGGTTTTTACCAGGAGCAACCTGGCACTTTGGGAGGAGCTTGCAAGCAACGAGCAGCAGCGCCTCGAGGACCGGGGAGAAACTGAGGCCCAATGACCGGGTCACGGAGACACCGACGCAAGAATGTATAACAAGAGGGCCTCCAGGCTCTTCCGTCCTCGGATCACGCGGACGAAATCGGGCGTGCAAGACCTTGGACTTTGTGAAGGGCCATCTTCGAACAATATGCACGAATTCATTCCGCTATACTTCCTTCAAGACTTATTTGCGACGGGGGAGTGGACCCCTCAGCGGAGTCAGAACAATGGAGCACGAGACATTAAAGCCGTGCGCATGAGGAGCGTGTCAACACCACCTACAGTAATGAAAGCCCGTGTACTAGAATGTTGACATCATCAGAGGGAGATCGATCGCGTACACAACTTGGACACGGGCACTGCGTCAGCCTTTGGCTCGTGTTCAGTCAATGCAACCCTCGGCGTGAGATTCGTGCCTTCCTTGTTTTTACCCATCCGGTCTGGACCCACGTAGTTCGCAGTATGTAATATAAAGCTAAATGTCTGAGTTGATGCCATCCTGAAGTGATGACGTTCCTCGGCGGTAGAGAAGGCTGTCCATGGGCTTTGAATATTCTAGGTGGCGTCATGGCTTCCTCCATACTGACAAAGTCTGGCAGATTGTTAAGAGACGCGGCCTCTGAAAGTGAAAAGGTAGAGCGCAGATAATAGACATATAACGTGCGCCCCGCTGCGGCGAGACGCCGAAACACGCTTGTCCCGATCGATGGAATGTCCACTCGTGCTTCTCGCGTTCCTCGCGCTATCGCTTCTATTCTCGTCCGGTTTGAAAACCATGTTTCGGGTCCTCGCCGCTGCAAAAAGCTGTGCGCTGACTATAGGCTCCCCTAGAAATGTTCTGTGCTACCAGACCCTGGCACTCCAAATGTGCGACCGGGCACTCTATGGCTCCGCCATCGAACTGTCAGGCTTTGTGAGTATAGAGGAGGCTATGATGGGCGTTTAGTGGACTCCACCGATCCACTGACACGTGCCTCCCTTCGGCGCTCTTATTGGCTCGCCCGGGCTCTCGCCGTTTCCAGGTTATGGCAAAAGGAAGTATAGAGGCGACCTGAATGTAGACGCAGAGCAAACGGAATCGAGATTTGACGGCAATAAAGAGGAAGCGAACCGCGTACCGCCACTCCCAGAGCTTTGCTTCAGAGTACTTCGGCCATCTCGCTGTTTAATCTCCTAGTTGTCAATTCTCTCAAGCGTCATCTGAAATCGCACAAAACGTATTTCCGCCCTCCGAAAAATGTAAGGCACAATATGGCAGGAGGAACTTTTTCCTTAATTTTTGCTCTATAATAATCAAATTGTCGCTAGTCGTAAATGTGTGTCTTCTTTTTTGAAAACGATCACTTGTTTTAATTTTAAAATAACTTCTGCGGGTGTGTGTTCAGAAGCAGAAACATCTACATGAAAGTTTTTTTTTTTTTTTTGTGCACATATCTAGGCGCAGTAATGTTTGGATATAAACGCCAAAGGAGAGGGAGAAAGCGAAAAATGGTAACGATAACACGGAGCGCACTCGTAACCGAAAGTTTATCGCAAAATACACTGACGCACAGTTTAATAAAACCACATCACATCCAGCCACCCCACCCTCTCTAGAAAAATAACATTTCCTTATCTGACAGGGTCACAGGCGGCTCACCAATACACTTATCGTCGCCCCTTGTTCAAATGACAAACGCTTTGTGGATTTCCCTACTTGGTTCCCCTCTGTGCCGTTTCAGGATGGTTGTCTTTAAAAGAAGGGGGTGCACGGGCATCGATCGCAATGCACTGCCAGATGCCCAGACGACAGAGGTTATATATTCCAAAAATGTACAACTTCTGTCGTCTACGACATTCCAATATCCTGCGGGCGTACCTACGATAGGGCAAACAGGCCGCTGCGTAAATGACCGTGCGAGAGAACACGCCGCAGCTATCAAACAGACGCCGTCTGGGCGTCTGGCAGTGCATTGCGATCGATGCCGGTGCACCCCCTTGTTTTCGTGTACAACTATCCTACTACCAAATGGATACCGAAGATTGGATGCGACCAGACCTTGCAGAATCAAAAACGGCACGGCACTGACGCCGGCCCAACTGGCAGCCTTTGGGCTACTGAAGAAAGAGGACCCTATCTGCAAGGCCTGCAGAGAAACTAAGGTGGGAGGTATCACGCACTTACTGTTCGAGTGCAAAGGACTGGAACACCACACAAAAACGTCGTGGGGAAAATTACCCGCTGAGGACCAACGAAGGAGGCTTAGCAATTGGATTCACCCCACAGGCCAGGAACCACACCGAAAGGCGATCCCGGACTCCCTGGTTGAATTTGTCAGGGAATCTGGGGGTCATAAATTCATCTAATAGCACCACAGTCATCCACACTCCCTCTTTATAACACCTCACCCCCACCCAATCGTCTGAGAGCGCACCACTCATAGACGGGAATTTTAACTATCATAGATACCAACATGTTGTCTCTCTCTCTCTCTCTCGCACGCGCGCTCGGATTTACTACAAAGGTGCCCGAAGTTGGTGCATTGATTAATTGAGAGTGTGCAAACATAAAACCTGGGGAGTATAAACAAATTAAAAAGACAACACTGGTTTTGTGAGCAAAAAAAAAAAAAATTAGCTCTAAGCCTAGCTTTTTTTTCAAAATTATTAAAAAATTGTTCTTGGCTATTCTTGCCTTTATTACGACTGAAGAATTGGTGAAATAAAGAAAATACAATTGGCTTGCCTATTCTTCACTTCCGTTTGCCCAAATAAGCGCCTCGGTGACACAGAATATTAATTAAATGTACATGCTTTGAGATTGTTCACAACAACGCTAGCTCCCCCTTTTTGCCTCTCTGAATGAAATTTTGGGAATTGCAACAAAAGGTTTTCCGTGTTGGTAATCCGTAGCCTTTAGCATTCAGATGTGTTAATAGTTGCTCGAAGGCACCTCGCCTGGACAGGATGCTATATGGAAGGTAATGAACCTCAAAGACCAGGCACCCCGACGCTCGCGAAAGGGTTTCATATTTCTGTCGTGCTCAGCTCTGTCTAGTTTTGACATTTTTTCTTCTGTTCAGAGTTAGGCATACTCAGGACAAAACCAGTTTAAGCTGAAGGTTTAATCTTAATCTGTCGAAACTTCGCGGAAACATTCCTTATTACGAAGGAGTTGCTCAAAAAAGTTAAGTTTGCCCTTTTATTTCTTTTGGAGTGTAGGAGCAGATAAAATAAATTTAATTAATTATTGTTCTGAAGTTCATGTGGGTTCGGCATAAAATATTTGATGGAGTTGACTATTGCATTCTGTTCCAGGTGCCTTCAAAGTTGCGTCAAAGCGCAATCAGGAAAGTCCTGTTTTCAGCCTCTTCTTAGGTGACATTTTATCTCACAAATAAAAAAACGTTTCTTGGTAAAGTAAGGATTCTACCGATGTCTGGAAACATTTCTCTACCTCATCAAAAAATTAATTGAAAACAAAAATTCAGGCGTGACACCAGTGCAACCGTCCTTATCTGAATTCACCCAGTACTCTTTTTCTATCTATTTCATGTTTCTTGGCTATAGAATAACGAATTCGTCTTTCCCTCCTCATCGGCGAGTGACACAAAATACGTATATTGGAGCTCAAAACCTCTTCCCTACAACTCGGTAATACCAGAAGCGTTCTAAGCTAGACGAGTTGGTATGATGAGATAGTGAACAGAAGAGCGCACAGAAAGACAAGGACAGCGCTTGTGTGTTGTGAATGTTCCTTCTCTCTGTCCTGGTCTTTTTGTGCGTTGTTTATTTTTTTTTACTATGTTGGTAATACCAAACGCAAACCGCAATGTGCCGAAATTCACGTATAAAATCAATGTAGAATTTTTTTCTGACAACTCATTTCTCGCGTTTGACAAAGCGGCATTGCCGCGGGATCAGAATGCCGATATTAGATGAAAACTGCGGCGGCTCCCGCTGCATAAAGCTAATTGGTTGGACCACCCTGCTAAAGTGTTTATACAGAAACGTCCACTGAAACAGTGTGAGCCACAAATGTTACTTTGCATGTTAACTAGGGCTAGAATAAGGACATTTATCATCGATCGTATTAGCGCTCCTCGGGGATCGCCGTGATATTTAGCGGTATTCATTCTGCGACCGCTACCCCTGAAAAAGGTAAAATTTTTGAAGGGTACTGCTCTTGCATCTGGCGGCTGCAAAGCATTCGGAGCAAAGGCGAGAATGTTCCATATAACGCTGGTCCTCTCGGCATAGGGCTCGCACTACAAAAGCTACTTTATGCCGTTTGCTCCCACCGCTGCCACAGAGCGCTCTTTTTTCCCCAAAAAAGGGGTAAAAGAAGCTGGCTATTTTTTCTGCATTACTTGTGCCATCTCCCTATGAGCATAAATTACTTCCCAATGCAGAGAAACTTTCGGCCTTGAGGCTACCAAAAAATAATCCCAATCACTGGCGATAGGAGAATCCGTGTACCGCCTTCCTGTGCAACGCCTGCCATATACAGGAGGCATTGTCTAGGGTCGCCCGTCCGCCCTCCCGCCGGCGACGTACAGGGGTAGGCAAATGTATACATTTTTTAATGTTGCCAGTCGCCTGCTGGAACTTACGCGACCGGCGTAATTTGAAACATAGAAACATAAAAATGTGGATATTTTCTGTGGAGGTAATCCACGGAAGATTATCTTTTTATAAAAATTTCATTAGCATATCAGAAAGGGCAATTAATTCGGTCTGTCAATTTTCACCCCAATCGATGACGCCGAAAGTACTATCCAGGCGGAGTCAGAGGTCTAACCGAATATGATGTATTGCCTGTTTGAGTTGAGCTGGTTGGGACTAAAATCATTGGATCCTGGGAAAGTAGCGCCATTGCCTTCCCTACCTGCTAGCCCGACACAAACAGATACACACATACGACCAAAACCTCGCAAGGCGATTGGCTAATCTGTCTAGGTTGCCATGGAAATCGCCATCTCGGTCCAGTCAAACCTTCGAAGCTTCTATAGACCAACACGCGGCCCTGACGTCACGCAGCTGCGGTGGCGCTGTCGACGGCACTGCGCATGCGCAAATGCTTGCCTTCACGCGAATTTCGTTTCTGGGCACGCGCAGTGCCCACGCCTTGTGTGCCCAAACGCGGGCTTGTTTGTAAGCAGCGTGTTGGTCTATAGAAGGTCGTTCTAAGCCAGTCGCGCCAAGATCACCATGGGACATCAGCGTACTGGAAGCGTTCTTCGCCAATATAAGCGTTTTTGGCACTGTGTATGCAATCAACTCTTATCAATCATGCCCATTTCTACGGATCTCTTACAATTATATTGTTCTTGCGTATTTCAAAACAGTCAAGTTATTTTTCAGTGCCTCCAAGCACCGACACAGCAAGTGGTGGTGGTACGAACATATAAACTTGTTTCGCCGGTCTGTGGATAGAAAAATCTCGGTATACAAGAAGCGTCTCCATAAAGATACCCGTCACCAACGAATTTAGATCGGCCCATCAAGAACGGACGGGTAGAAGAGAAATTGCTCATTTCACGGACCAAAATGGCGACCATATATGGGAAGCTTGTCACTACATTTCCAGGATCCAGTGACTTTAGTTGGGACATTTCACTGATAGAAGGAAAACAACATGAACACTAAAGGCGCTGTCACACTGAGTAAACAGTTGGACAACTCTATCCGGCAACACAAGGAAAACGTGTTTCCAGTGACTCTATCGCATCGCGGCAACAACAGTTGTTCAACATGTTGCTGTCGCCGGGGAACCGAGTTGGCCGATTTGTTGTCCGACCACCCTGTCACATCGCGCTGACGGCGGCGCCAACATGGGGAACACTCTGCCATCTCGATTGTTCGTGTACGGCGCGGCGTTGCAGGAATCGTGACTCTACAAAGTGCTAGTGCGTTCGAAGGGCCGGAAACTACCACGTGACGACATGAATCAGTGACAGTGATTAGAAAACTTGACGCGGCAAGTATATTGCACCCTTTATTTTATCAAAATATTCTTCATTCGCTGGAAAGGCAGATAGCCCTAACCGGGGAAAGCGAGACGGCTGACATATGTTTGGGATTTACGCCACAGTATGAAGCCGGTTTCTGTCCGGTTCTTCTCTTTATGCAATTCCTATTTCTACAGTAAAATTGAGTTGTCAACGGCAGTACCCCAAAGGGTCTTTTGAAGCGT